CAAAGCGTTGATTAAAGACCGGGATAAGGCGAGAAGAAAGGCAGATTCAGATGGCAATATAATTGCATTTAATTTGTTTAAATCACTGAGAAACAAAGTTAAACAAAAAATTTTAAATTTCCAAAAATCAGTGATTTTTGACAGTTTAAATCAAATCTCAGGAACAAAGCATATGTGGAGTAAGGTGCGAGGCTTAGGTTTGGTGAAAGATAAATCCAGAGTTGCCGAGCTTTCTCTAAGTTCTGACGACCTTGTAAATGATTTGACCGTGAAAAGACCCTCTAATATTTTGAACAAAATTGATAAAAATTTCTCAATCCCTCGTAAAATTTCAGGCGATAAATTTTATTTTAACCATGTAACCCCATTGGAAGTGAAATTAGCGCTGAAAAGTATAAAGTCACCCTCTGAAGGTACCGACAATATTTGTAACAAAATGCTGCTCATGATTATTGATGTAATTCTGCCATCTCTCACGTTTATTATCAACTCTGCGCTGCAAACGTCATATTTCCCAGCTATCTGGAAAAAAGCTATTTTGATGCCTCTGCCAAAAGTTCGCAGCCCCGCAAGTAGTTCTGATTTCCGGCCAATTAGCTTGTTATGTGTTGTTTCAAAAGTGTTGGAAAAAATTGTCTTTGATCAAATGATGGAATTTTTATTAAAAAATGAGGTCCTTGATAGGCTTCAATCCGGATTTCGGAAATTGCGCAGCACGACAACGGCTCTGTTAAAAATTGCTGAGGATTTGAGAGTTTCTATGTTTAAAAATGAAGTAACGTTAATGGTTTTTCTTGATTTCTCAAAAGCATTTGATCTGGTTGACCATGGTCTTTTGCTGAGTAAACTAAATCAATTGAATTTTTCTGCACCTGCTTTGCGCTTCTTTGAAAGTTATTTATCAGGCCGTCAGCATGCAATTAAGAACAGTGATGGAAATTTTTCTAAGTGGATGAATATTGAATGTGGCGTGCCCCAGGGTTCAGTTCTTGGGCCGCTCCTTTTTTCTCTGTACACGCACGATTTATCGGCAGTCTTAAAGGATAGGTGCAAGTATCACGTTTATGCGGACGACACTCAGCTTTATCTTAGCTGCCTGTCGAATAATGTAAACGAGTGTGTTAAAATCATGAACGAAGTATTAAGAGATGTCGTGTATTGGTCGGAAGCGAATGGACTGAAACTCAACCCGAGTAAATCGCAAGCTATGTTTGTTTGTTCTGAACGAAATAATTCTAAAATCTCTGCGATGTTAAGTGAAAAATTATATTTAAATGATGTTGAGTTAAATTTTGTGCAAGATGCGAAAAATCTTGGTGTTATGTTTGATAAGAATTTGTCTTGGAACGCGCAAGTGTCTAGAATATCGCAAAAAGTTTACGGTACTTTAAAAAGTATTGAAAAATTCAGAAATGTTACTCCCGAGAAAGTCCGTATAAGACTTGTCAAAAGCTTGATTCTGCCACACTTTGATTATTGTGACATTGTTTACTGTAATTTGACAGCCACGCAAATTAACAAATTGCAAGTACTGCAAAATCATTTGATCAGGTATATTTTTGATGTAAAGATCGGACAAAATTTATCACCCTTGTATAAAAAATGTGAAATTCTGAAAATCGCGGATAGGCATAAATTGAAAATTCTAGTTCAGACACACAAAATCTTGTATAAAAATAGTCCAGAGTACTTGAACGATTACGTTACGACAATGTATGATGTAAATTTGCTCGGGCGCACGAGAGCGCACCGAATGAAATTGCTCGCACCGTTTGTTAGTGTGGAGGTACCGGAAAACTGTTTTCAAGTTCAATGCTATAGGCTTTGGAATGAGTTACCATCAAATCTATGTTTGAATGAAAATGTTAATTTTTTTAAATCGGTACTGAAAAAGCAATATTTTGAGCAATACTAATGTTTTCTCTCTCTCTTAAAATTTTCGTTTTTTGTCATTTATTTGGATGAGTTCATGTATGGGGCATAGTTGCCCTAAATTCGAACCCAATAAACATTTCTTGAACCTAAAATGTCTAAAAATTCCCAATTTCTCTCTTCTCTCATATTTTGGAAGAAAAAAACAGAACCGAGGCGGTGTCGCACTTTTGATTAATGATAGTTGTAAATTCAAAACCAGAGTTTTTAATCTGAAATCAGTTGAATCAGTTGAGCTATTGAGATTTGCTCAGCATCAATTCAAATAGAAAATAATAATATCCAATTAATTTTGATCTATAGACCATCGAATAATATAAATAACAGTTTGACACAATTAAATGAATTTTTTGATAAATTGGAGTCAATATTAGAGCAGAATGTGCAACCAGGAAAAGAAATAATATTATTTGGTGATTTTAATATAGACCTTTTAAAAAATAACTCACAATCACATAAACTTATTGAAATTTTGTCTTCGTACAATTTTAATTTTCTCAATAGTGCCAAACCAACTAGGATTTTCAATGGCTCCATTAGTTTGATTGACCATATTTTCTCTAACTTTGATTGCCAATATACTTCAGACGTTCACAGAGTAGATTTTTCTGACCATGATGGGGTCTCCTGTAATTTTCAAATTTGTTATCAAGCCATTAAAGACCATTGGATTTTTAACCGTAACTTATCAGATGAAAATTGGCAATTATTTTACAGTAGTCTGGAAAATGCTAACTGGAATGATGTATACGAACAAAAAACAATTCATGAAAAAAGTGACACATTCATGACTAAGCTGATAAATATGTATAATTCTGCTTTTCCATTAACTAAAAAAATTATACGAGGCAACAAATCAAGGAAAGTCAACCTGTCTGACCACACTAAACTCCAAAAAATTAAAGTCCGAGAACTAGGTGAACAAATTCGAGTTTTTAATAAATTTATTAACGCTCGTAGCCCAAACCTAAGTTCTTTACAAGCAGAAAAATTAGCCAAGCTTAAATCAGAATATAAATCATCTAAAAATTATTTAGCATTCTGCATCAGGAGTGATGCTCAGAAAGAAAATGCGCGCAAAATACATTCCGCACCTGATAAAGGAAAGGCTGCATGGAACTTGGTAAAAAAACTTACCGGAAAATCTAATCAAAATGACCAAATTTCTGCTCTAGTTGTAAATAACGAAAAAATTACTGATTTACAGTGCATAGCAAGTCTCTTGAATAATAACTTTGTAGAAAACCCCCCCTTTCTTGATGAGAACTCATGTGATGTCGCTTCAAATAGAATTGTCAACAATCCGACAAATAGTTTTTCAATTTCGCTCACCACAGAATGTGAAATCTTGCATGTCATAAACAAACTTAAATCAAAAAGTAGTACAAGCTGGGATGGGATTTCTGTAAAAACACTAAAAAATATTGAAATTGCTCCCCTAATTACAGCTCCACTTTGTCATATAATTAATGAATCGTTCATCAAAGGAATTTTTCCTGATAATTTAAAAATTTCCAAAATAACTCCACTTTTTAAAAAGGGGGAAAAAACAGATCCAAATAATTACAGGCCCATAGCTATAACTTCTTCCATATCTAAGGTTTTTGAAAAAAAATTTCTAAATCGCCTAGAATATTATTTTGAACAAAATAACTTTCTCTCAGAAGCACAACATGGTTTCCGCAAAAAGAAATCCACTCTAACAGCACTCTTTGATATGGTAACTGAGTTATATGATTGTATTGAGAAGCGAGATAAGGTCAATTTAATACTGTACGACTTTTCAAATGCGTTTGGCTGTCTTGTGCCAGACATTTTGTTAAAAAAACTAGAATTGTATGGTTTAGACCCTGCTGCTATATCATGGGTAAGCAGCTTCCTTTTAGATAGAAAACAATATGTGCAATTTAAAACTTTTGATGATAATAATGTTGAAAAACTGATACAATCTGAATTGGCATCCAGCTCAATGGGAGTTCCTCAAGGCACCACTTTCGGCCCTTTTGGCTGGACCACGTATAGTAATGATTTCCCATTATATATTGTTATTGCTTGCCTAATACTTTTTGCTGATGACTCCTCAGTTATTATTAGAGCCAAATCATATTCTGAAGTCAACTTGAAAACAATTAAAGTAAACAACCAAGTAGTTGATTTTGCTTCAATAAATTTCTTAAAACTGAATGCAAAAAAAACTAATATTCTTCAAATTCACACACCCCAAACAAAATCTATTGTACAGCCTGATGTGATTTTATCTAACGAATTAGTAACAGTTTGCAAACAAGGTAAAATACTTGGTGTTACCTTGTCTGATACATTAAGCTGGCTTCCGCAATGTGAAGCAGTGGTGAATAAACTTCGAAGCACTGCATTTATGTTAACTATGTTAAGAGGTCATCTCCCCAGAGAAAGACTTCGAGAGGTCTATTTTGCTTATGTTCAAAGCCATATTTTGTATTCAATTGTCATATGGGGTGGTTCAACTCACATGGACCAGGTGTCATTGGCGCAAAAAAGAGTTGTCCGTTCTATGGCCGGTGTCCAATACTGGAGAGGCCCCGTTAAACTAGATTCTTGTAAACCGCTATTTGAAAAATTTGAAATTTTACCAGCCTACTGCCTTTATTTACTAGAATGCATGAAATTTGTTAAAAAGTATCCAGATAAATTTAAATTAAAAAAGGACATGCCAGATGCCAAAATGTATAATACAAGAAGTGCCACGACACATGAGTGTGATTTATACGTTGGAAGCAGCACCCTAAATATGAGTTGTCAAAACCCTCTTACAATGGTTGCTAAAGTTTTCAATCACTTTCCTGTTTCCATAAAAAATAGCATTCAAAGCGTACAATTTGAAAAACTTGTAAGAAAAGAGTTATCTAATAATTTGTTTTATGACAAGTTCGAATTTTTCGGACATAAATTTAATTAGTAAAATAAGGACTGACGTGTTCTAAGAGCGACATTACCTTGTTCGGTGGTATTATTGTGCTAGTTGATGACTGTATATTTTGTGCTCAAAAGAATGAATAAAAATATCTAATCTAATCTAATCTAATCACCTGATGTTCAAGTGTCAGTCAGATGAGTCAGCCAGTCATCCGGGTCGCTTTATGCGGTTCTCCAACTTTTCCAGCAGTGCTCAGTTTCCAACATTTCTAAAAAATAAGATAGCAAATGTTAGACGCTTAATTTAAATTCAGTTTATTAAAAAAGTTTCAACGAAAATAAAAAATAAAAATTTAATTTCAAGGTTTCTTGCTGGTTATTTTAGTTTGGGGAATGTAGCCAAAATACATATTTCATCAATTTACTTACTTTAAGCAAATGCAGACAAACTTCATTTTTCTTCTTTCGTCAATTAATCCATCGTGAGTGGTGCCAGTGGTGCGTCTGGAATTGAAAATATTTTTAAGTTTTTTATCATAAAAATATAACAAATTTGCAATGATAAACATAAATTCATTTTAATAAAACGATTGTTGCTGAAGAAATTTACTATCAAAAATCTAGTTTAATGGAAAGCAATGAATCGAGTTCTGCGCTTAACAACAAAACTCTTTGAAAAACACTACTTTTGTGCAGGTAGTTCGAATGGACTCTAGTTCGAATTTTAGGGGAAGGGGGTGCAGGTGGCGCTCTTGGTAGCCCACGGTAAGGCAGATAGAGGGCTCTGATGATTCAGGGGATGATTGACAGATTGGCGGTTGGTGGCTGGCGCGGGCCATATACCAGCGCATTGGAAAAGCCCAAAAAAATAGGACACAAATAATATTTATTTATTATTATGCAGTGAATATAATTACTGCTCAATAAATTAAATTTGGGTTTCAGCAAAATGAGCAGACCCACATTTAATTTAAGCAAGCTTTAAATAAATAAAAATGAAAATAAATATGTCAGGTGGCAAAATGCACCCAGTCGCGCGAAGCCATTGAAAGCACAAAATTTAGCATGGAAAATCAGCTTAATGGCCACAATACTTTCTATGGAAAGTGGAAACGTTTTAAGAAATTTGAGAAATTTCATCTCACCTTTTTGTTGCTTGTAAGCAAATTTGGTTATTGCTTTCATCCTCCACATTGTCCTGCCGGCTCCTTCGCTGCTCCTGCTTCTCTCGTTCTCTTCTCTCACAATGCGAAGCAAACCGCGAACACACTCTCGCCTCGCCACTGCAGTTGCAGGCGGATGCAACAGAAGGAATTAGGCTTGGCAACCCTGGGCGAAGGGGTTCATTGTTCGGGATGGTCATAGAAGAAAACACAATTTTTGCTTTTCTCTGGTCAGCTGATATATAAAATTCCTCTCTCTTTACAAAATAACAATGCATCTTGCAGAGGCAGAGTTTCCTGCAGTAAGACTGTCTAATTAAAAATATCGCGCTGTTTTTTTCTAAGCATTTGTTCAGTTACAATTTTGCTTTTTTGATCATATTATAAATAATTCAATAATTATATTTTGTGTTAATTGGTTTTAAAATTTTATTGAAAAATTAAATTATACCTATTTCTCGTGTGCTGACATTCAATTTTGTCTGGTTTAATTTGCCTGTATTAAAATTTTTTATTCTAGAAATTTTCCAACATTTAATTTAACGAGTTCTTGAAGAACAATTTAAAATAAAAATTCAATAAACTTGAATTTTTGCTGGTAATGAGTTTTTTTTATATTTTTGATTAAATTTTTTATTGCAATGATTTTTATTAAATTTTAAATAATTATTTAACAGTGTACTAATAAATGACACGTTTTATGAACAATATTTTACTTTTACAAAAATTGAACAAAATCTTGGCTCCAGATGAAGTTACAGAAAAATGTTTCATACAAAAGTTGATGCTAAAAAGAAAATTGAAAGCATTTTTCAAAATTGAAACTGTTATTTTAATTAGGAGCAAAAGTATTAAAATTTGAAATTTTGTCTGCGTATAATGAAAAATCTCTGCTTTACTCTGTCAAGAGCACGGCCGGATTTTCGCGCCGCCAGAATAGGCGTGCCAAAACGTGTTAATTACTCATAACTCATATTCTAATTAACCATTGAGTTTCAAATTTTACGATTTTGTTTATTTCTGCCTTATTTATGTTCACAATTTAATTGACGCTATTTTGAATCACTGTCTGGTAAATATTAAGGAAAATAGCATAATATGCCTTAATTTACATATTTCTACTCTCCCTAAATTAAATATAAAAAATCCCCAAATTCTTCATTTATTTGCGCACAATATTACGTTACAAATAATCATGTAGCTCGTTTTAATTTTTTGATATCAAAATCTAAATGAGAAAAAATGAGGTAAAAATGGTTAACTATAGAGCGTGTTATTAAGAAAACCACTTGTTGGAATTTTTTCAACCAAACATTTTTCTCTCTAGAAAAGAGGCCTTTAGGGAGTTAACTAATCTTTTATTAAAAATCTATAAAAATATCAAATTTTCGCAATTTTATCCCTGTTCGGATTTTTTTATTTCCTTGAAAAAATCACATTAGGTGAGGATTTTTATTTAGAATTTTTTGCCATATTTTCGTATTTTTAGATCAAAAGAAAATAATTTTAAACTGAAATGAATTTTAACTGCACATCTGATATCACACACAGGAGAGAAAAATCTTTCCTTCCTTTGAAATCAGTTGGCGATGCAGGCGAGCGAGCCTCAGGAGATGTTTTTTGTTTCCTTTGAGTTATTTTCGCTGGCTTCACCTTCCCCTTGTACAAAAAGGTCTAATGCATTGCAGAGCGAAACTGACCTGGCTGACAATGGGTGCGCTGCGTTGCCACATGAAGGCACAACCTGACTCGCAACAACAGACAGCACCCTCTATCTAAATGGGGTTGATCAGGAACTCACTCATATTATTTCTTTTAACAAAATTATCAACAACACCCGATTCCTTACATGCAGGCAATACGAGAATCACCCTTGTATTGCAGGTTGCATATATATAGCCGACAAATTTGTCGCGAATAAATTAACAAATCATTAAAGCAATAAAATTCATGATTAAATTTAATCACGCATATATATATTATTATGCATTTCAAATAAAAATGCTTGGAATCCTCAAATATACTTAATCTGGTTTTAAAGTTAGTGATATTAGTAAAAAATACAGTTCATGAATTATTTTATTATAATTATTTGAGACGGCTAGAATTCTAGGTTCTAGGGGCAATTCTTTTATCGCGATCTCTTTTTTTTAATTTCCTTTCCCGATTTTATTTAATTTTGAATATTTATTGTAGAAATCGGACTTAATCTGATTCATTGAAAGTATTTTTTGTAATAAATGACTAATGAATTTAAAATAACTTTTGCCATTTCATATGTGGATCGAGATGTAAGGATAAATCCTTTTTTATGCAAAAATAAATTTAAAAAAAAAAAAAAATTTCCTTCAAATATAAGAAGCGCACGCTAGTCAACTTACAAAATCACAAAATACGTCATCAAATTGGCTGGCATATATATTGGTTTTAAGTTTCAAGATAAGTACAGATAAATATGAGTTTAATACTTTCTCGTGAATTTTCCTTGCAATATGTCTTTAAGTTTAAAATAATATTAGTTTAATATCCCAAAAAATAATACGTTTTTAATGCATTTTATAAATGGGAGAATAATACTAGAATAATGTATCAACTTCAGGGGCAATAGGTATGCAACCTGCATCACATAAAATAATGTCAGAACAAGGTTGCTTTAATAGCTCTTGACTAGGTACTGAGGGAAAAATAATGGGTCACAATAGTAGAATAAGTTTACTTTAAGGGGAGTTTTACACAATAATACTATTTTTTTGAGAATTAAAAACCCAAAGAAACCACTCAGAACGGGAAATAATTTAAATTAGTACTTTTGACTAAACACCTTTTACGTGGAATTACGTTCCGAGACGCGAGATACTGAGACAAAAATCGCTGCGGGTGGAATTTGATTTGCTAGGCAAAGTGCTGCTGATGAGGCTTCAATAGCCGAAACAGCTGTCCAGCACAAAACAATACGGACAGATTGGGGTGGTTTTAAAGAGTTTTAATTTTGGGAAATTTTCGCCCTCAATTAAAATTGTTTATTATCACAACAGGAATTTTCTAACTTTTTTACACTGGTTTTTGTCTCAGTATCTCGCGTCTCGGAACGTAATTCCACGTAAAAGGTGTTTAGTCAAAAGTACTAATTTAAACAATAATACTAGTTTAATAGGTCGATAGGCCCGGCCTTGAACTGGTAAGTCAACAACACACGCTGGTGTTTTGCTCCCCAGATTTTGACCTTTCTTTCGCACACATCTGAGGTTACAGACTAACCAGGAGGGCCGAGGGGCCTATGAATTGCCCCACCACACAACCACCGGGGTAGTTCGTCCCTTGCTCTCCGGTGAGAACTGAAAAATCCAAAAATACCGAAATGACTGGTGGAAGTGGAGTTCTGCTTGCCTTTGTCTGCGTTGCCCTACTGCACCTGCCGTGGTCCCGCTCAGGTGCCCCGAGGACGACCGGCCCTGGCGATGTCGGGTTCACCACCCTGCAGGTCTCCGAGGACTGCGCGCTGTCCTGCTGGTGCACCCTGAGCAACGCCCAAGTAGGTCGTGATGTTTATTTCAATAAAGCAATAGTCCGGCTGATGATGCGGAAAAAAACAGCATTGCACGCATTCTGGCATACTTTGATGTGCATTGCGCTCAGCGGCCAGGTGGCCTTGAACCCCGGACCCGTTCAAATGTGCCGCCTCTGTGACAGGCCTGGCAGCGAATTCCCAAAATCCAGTCTCGTTGGGCACCAGGGCACCGCCCATCAGCTTTGCCGCCGCGCTTTCAAAATTTTCGCCTCGATCTCGCTCACCTCAATCACCATGTGAGTCAAGCTCACTACTTTTGCAGCAGTAATACTTGATTTTCCTTCATAATAATCACAATTTCTGGCTTTCATAAGAAATGATATGTTATATAAATATGTATTAGTGAAACAATTTTATCCTAGTTCTTTAAAAGGATTTTGATGTGATTCAAGTAGTCACGCGTCACGCTGAACTTGAGTGTGGTGGGTGTGTACTTTGTTTGGAGTTGGTAAATGGAGTAAATATATAATTGTTATGTTGTGACTTTTTAGAATTTATTTTCAAGTGATTTAACTATAGGTAGTGCAAATTTCACGTGTTTTAATTACGTTGTTAGTTGTGATAATGTGTAATTTCAGTTATTTCGAGAACGGAGACCTCACAAGTGAAGTTTGTAGATTTATTTTGTGAAAAGAAGACGTTTTGATTGAGAATTTAAAATCACCAACACAGTAAAAAAGTAAGCACTGTTCTTAATTATACATTATTTATTGTGCATCCTTTAAAACTAAATTCAAGGAATAATTATATTTAAACATATTTAATACAAAAGGAGCACATTAAAATAAAAGAAAAATACTCGTCAAATTTTATTTTTTTTATTTATACTTCATATTTATCTTATTGATAATCAGGAAATGAGCACATAGGAATAACATCAAGTGATGCATATGACTATTTAATGCGATTTTGCATTAGCACAGTTGTCCTTGACAGCCTGACTGAGATCTCTTTTTCTTTTTTTAGGACCATTGTTATCCGACTGAGACTTCGGAGGTCGACCACTTGCGATTTGAGCTGCTCCCTTGGATACTCCTACTCGACGCCTTGCTCGACCAGATGGATTAACACCAGTGCGACCCTTCTTGGACAGCACAGAGTTGACAGCTCTGTAAAAAGCCACCAAAGCAGCTTGAGCAGCTGGAGTAGTTTTTGGCTTTCGGAGTGCCTTTCCCATCTTTTCAACAAGTTCAGGTGAAATATTAACCAAAGCTAAGTCGAGGAAGTCGCTGAAATCGTTCTCCAGCTGCTTCCTCTTTTCGGCCCTGTCGGCTTCATCAAAGACATTTTCATCTGTCTCTGTAGCAACTTCCATCTCATTATTGTAAAAAAACTCATCTTCATTGTCACCAGATGCTTCGTCATGGCTATTGCATTGATTTCCTAAAATAATTTCATAATTTTAACAAAAAAAATTATACATTCATGCTGCACAAGTTTTAAATCACATTTTAATTATAGTTAATTATGAGATGTAAAATTTTAATTTTATTTTATTAACCTTTTTGTGGAGAGCTAGTAGGTGACGCAACCTCAGTTCGCCCTAAGTAGAAGCTAGTCGGCAGGGTTTTGTCGCCAAGGGCCACTTTGGCTAGAAGTTTTCGGTCAGAACTGAGGAGTGGTGGAGCTGAGGGAATTGCTGCCTTTTTATACTTCACAAGCAAAGCCATATGCTTACAAAAAGCTCCCCTCTCCCCAGATTTGCAGGAGCAAAATCCACTGTCTGTTCTGACTTCATAAAACGTCTCTGGAAATTTCACATTCATTCAATTAAATCAAATCAAATATGTATGCTATGAAATCAAATAAATTTTAGTGTCATGAATTATGTATATGGAAATTAGGGCCTTATAGAATTAAACTGAAGATTATTTTCTAATTAATTATAATTTAAAATCAATATTTTTATTACCAGCTGAGATTGAACTTGGCACGCTGTAAAGGTTTTCGTCAATTTTGATGATCTTGTTGGGGTCAATGGACGAAGCTCGCTTAAGCATCTTGTCGAAAACCAGTGAATGTGCCGAATGTCGGTTGTGTGCATGGTCAAGCAATCGTCTCTTGTAATAGTCATCCATCGGTCCGATAACAAACTCGATCAGAGCCACAGGGTTATAAGCCTATTTTTTATTTACAATTTTATGTAACAATTTATCTGAAAATATTTCTTTCTTTCTTACTTTCATTCTTTGCATGACAGCCTCTTTAGCAATTTTAATACTAGTCTCAGCAAAGTTGTTGGTATCATTGCCTCTATTCATAGCACCAACTCGTGCATAGATAGCCCACTCTTCCACTCGTTTTGCAAACTTTTGAAAGCGTTTCACATACTTAGGATGCGCCTCATTTTGAGCTAAAATGCTCTCCGAAGCACTTTCAAATTCCTCCAATGTGTTAGCATAGACAGCCTATAATATGAATTTCACAAAATTAGATTAATCATTTATATTTTTACTTTCTGCACGTAAATATTAACCTTGTAATATAGATTCATTAATTTCTGCCTATCATTTTTATTGCAGTTGGAAAGGAGCCACTTCCACTCCGCCGAGAGTACGTGAAACACACATAGCAACCTACGTGCTGTTGGCCACACCGACTCAACCGCCTTTCGTTCCGCAGAACTGTCATCTGTCATTACGACACTAGGCGCCTAAAAATGAAGTACATTTTCATTTAGAAATGTATGTTTTTTTTTAATTTTATTATTGGATTATGAAGTAGTCTCTGAGTAAGATTTTTTTAAAACTCTGTTTTAATTTAATAAATATTGGAATTTATTGTTGGTAGGGAATATAAAATGTTTGTGATTAATTGGAGGTTAATGCTAAGGATAATGCTATTCAGTTTTACCTCAGAGCCACCAAATCCTTTTGGACATTCTCTCTTGTACAAGTTAAAGGCCATCTCATAGCAAGTCTGAGTCTGGTGGCTTTGCAGCAAAATGCAGAGTGGCATTGCACCAGCTTTTGTGGCAGAGCACATTGATGTAAAGGTGCAGTGAGTCACATCAACATGTGAGGTTGAATCAAGGAAGAGTGTTTCACCAGAGTGCGGCAGTTCTTGCACCCTTTTCATCAAGGGTGTCACAATGAGGATGCACCACTCGCCATCCTCCATTGAAGTCTTAACAAGAACATCTAAAGTTTTTAAGATTTTAATGTATTGCATTTTAGGAAAAATTCAATTTTCAAACTACCTCTTGAAATGTAATCTCCAGAAGCAATTTTTTCTTGAGTCTTTTCAATTGGTGTTAAAGATTTTACACCAAATTGCTTATTTGACCATTTGTCAAACAAATAGGAGACAGTTCTTTTGGTAGGGTTAATATTAGCATCAGCAAGATTCACAAAATCGTCATTGCTGATAAGTAAGTCTTCGTGACGTTTCCTTGCTTGAGCAGCTGTACTCCCATCGTCAAAATATTTGTCGAACAGAGCGGCAGTCGATGGATCTACTCGATTTAATCGAAGTGTGTCCGCACTTAAGATGTGATGATTGTGCACGCCTTCAAATTTGATCACAGCTTGACGGACAATACCATGCTTGTCAGGTCTGAGATATTTATCCTTTTTTTTGGTGTCTCTTGTAATCTATGTTGTAAAAAGATTGGTCCATTATTGTTTGTTTGTTTGTACTGATACTTTAAATTCTTGAAATTCTTTAATTAATAATAGTTTTCATTAAAAATTATACTTATGGGGTTTAAAACCATAATAATCAATGAAAAATCATTAATTACACCCACCAGCTTGATTTTAATATCCAGTGTCACTTTGCAATTTGTTGTTCGCTTCGAATCAACTTTTTTGTTCAATTTGCTAAGGTGGCAGTGAAACCTTTTATGAGTATGGTACCTATAGAGGGATTGTATTTTTATTTAATTAATTGAGTACTTATTTTAATGAGATATAAAAAAACCTTTCCATTTCTTCGTAACAGTATTCGACGATCCAACAGCTTCTAGAAATTTTTGAAAATTCTTTGACCCACTCGTCAATCTCATCCACTGATGATAAATTGGCCCTCAAAACGGTGGAATTTTCAGAATATTCCACACAGACAGTGTGGAATTCTGTCGGAAAAACATTTTTAACAGGACTTTTCACGGCTGCCATTGTCATTGTTTTTATTTATTATGCACCTAGGCCAAAGTTAATGTGCAACAAATAGTGCATATTCACAACCAATAGAAGTCGATTTATTTTCTGTTTGCCTTTTAACATTTATAATAATTATATATTTACATTAATTGATTGTTAAAAATTATGACAGTGAGAAATTGTGATTATTATGAAGGAAAATCAAGTATTACTGCTGCAAAAGTAGTGAGCTTGACTCACATGGTGATTGAGGTGAGCGAGATCGAGGCGAAAATTTTGAAAGCGCGGCGGCAAAGCTGATGGGCGGTGCCCTGGTGCCCAACGAGACTGGATTTTGGGAATTCGCGGCCTGGCAGGCGGAATCAAATAAAAATTACCTGTGACCATTGCTCCGCCATCTATCACTCAACCTGCCTACGATTTGCACCAAAAGAAACAAAGAGATTTCGCGCGGGAGGCTATACGTGCTGGTCGTGCGCGTTGCCTAACTTCTCAGATTCATTCATTAGCGCCGAAGACACTCCACCGAGCCCTACTGCCGGCCAGAAACCCACGACTCGCAATAGAAATCGCACTCTCTACCGGCTTTACTCTTTTAATGCTCGCTCTCTCTCGAACCGAAAAAGACGTGCGGACATCCTCGCGGCAATTGATAACATTGACGCAGATCTCGTTTGCATAAATGAGACCTGGTTGTCTCCCGACGTAGGAGATAACGAAATCATGCCGCCCGATTATGCCGTATTTAGAAATGATAGGAGAGGTGGTCGCCGCGCCGCGGGTGGAACTCTGATTGCAGCGCGCCCCGATTTGCACCCCCGCCGCCTCCAACACCTCGAAGCAGGAGCGGAAGTTGTGTGGCTGGAAATTCGCATGGATAAATTAAAAATCTTGGTCGGTTCTGCGTACAGAAAGCCAAATGCAACCGCAGCATATAATGATGAACTAATAAAATCACTTGAGCGGGTCGCGGAAATCAAACACGGATTTGATGGCGTCATTCTCACGGGCGATCTCAACCTTGACGTGAACTGGAAGCTGGACCCGCCAGTTGCTGGAACCGCACCTGCAGCCGAATTCTTAGATCTTTTTGACGACCTATCTATGACACAATTTGTTAAAGATGCAACCCGCACAACGGACTCAACTTCTAAAATTCTTGATCTGGCCCTCTGTGACGCAGCTGGGTTAATTTCAAAGGTCGAAGTCACACCTGGGGTCAGTGACCATGACGCAGTTGTTTTGGAGCTTGCTGTTCGTCGAGAAGTGCTGCGACGAGTCCGGAGAGAATATTTTGACTTCAAAAAAGTAGTTTGGAATGATTTGGGAGCTGAACTTACTCGGAAAATGGAAAATCTTGAACTGACTTTTAGCTCAGTATGTCAAGCTTGGGAGCAGTGGCAGCAAACTTTCTTTGTCACACTCGCTGAAAATGTGCCTAAAAAAATTGTCCGCCCGAGAAAACGGAAATGTGCACCGTGGCTTACGAAAGAGGTCAGCTCACTCATGGGCAAACGTGATAAACCATTTTCCGCCTGGCAGAAAACAAAATCGGCCTTCTCGCGCCTGGAGTTTGAAAAAGCGAGAAAATCTGTGCAGAAGGCAGTTCGCCTGGCCCGGGACAAGTGGATGTGGGAGCTGGGCCGCGGACCAGGAGGGAACAAATTTTTCTGGAGCTTCGTGAAAGAGAAGAGCAAAGTTTCGCCCGCTGCTGCAGTGTTTGAAATTGATGGTGAAAAAGTGACAAAGCCCGAGTTAGTCGCCTCTGCTTTCAGCCGCGTATTTGTCAAGAACTTCAACACTGTGCAAAACTATTTCCCTTTCATGCGCCGATCACCAGCAAACGCAACAACCCCTGTGCTATGTGATATTTCTGTTAGCGCTGCGAGTGTGTGCTCCCTTCTGCGGCAAATAAAATCAAATGCAGCGACCGGCCCCGACAACGTGCCCGCGATTGTGCTAAATAAATGTGCCGCCTCACTCGCCCCCAGCCTCGCTCGAATCTTCAATCTTTCCCTTCGGCAGGGTGAACTTCCTCAAGGGTGGAAAACTGCCGCAGTCACCCCAATTTTCAAGAGTGGGAAAAAAAGCTGCCTAGATAATTATCGCCCCATAAGTGTCACTTCATTGGTCGGAAAAACATTAGAAAGGTGCGTGCGAGACAGGGTTGAAAATTTTATAAATGAGAGCAAAATTATTCCCGACTGCCAACATGGGTTCAGACAAAAAAGGTCGTGCACCACACTTTTGTGCAAGACCTTTGACAGTTGGGCCAGCAGGCTGGACGAAAGAAGCGGGACGCACGTCCACGCCATCTTCTTGGACTGGGCCAAAGCCTTCGACCGCGTCCCACATGACCGCCTGCTGTCCAAACTCGCCCACTATGGCGTCGGCGGCAACCTCCTAAATTGGCTGAAAAGTTTTTTGACCGACCGCAGCCAGTTCGTCGTCTACGGAGGAGCAAAATCAGAGCCTGAAAGTGTCCTGTCCGGAGTCATCCAGGGCAGCGTCCTGGGGCCGCTGCTGTTTAACATCTACGTCGCCGACCTGCCCGCCAACATTGACTCTGAATTAGTACAGTACTCGGACGACGCCACCCTCTGGCGCGAAATTCAGAACCTCTCGGACGTCGCCATGCTGCAGGCCGACCTGGACAGTGTCCGGGCGTGGTGCGACAACAACGGCATGTCCCTGAACCCGACCAAGTGCCACGTGATGGACGTGACGCGCGCCCGCACACGTCGGCATGACGGCTACACAATCGGCGCCTCCACCCTCGAGTACGTCACCGACGAGCGCCTCCTCGGCGTCCAAGTGTCAAAAGACCTGCGGTGGAGCGAACACACGGACATCGCGCGCGGCAAAGCAGCAAAAGTGCTCTCGTTCGCGGCGCGAAATCTGCACGGCTGCACGCCGCGCGTGAAAAATTGGCCTACCAGACGATGGTGAAACCGCTCCTGTTCTACGGCACCCCCGCGTGGCGCCCTTCCTACGATACAAACATCAACAAATTCGAGCGAGTGCAAAAAAGAGCCCTCAGGTTTGTGTACGGGCGGCATATCCCTGATACGGCCGAACATGGGCTGCTGTCGGTGCAGCAGCAGCAGCTGAAGTTCAATGACTTGATGTTTTTCAAGAAATGTACCAGTGGCGAGACTGATATGGACGCAAAGGCGAGAATCACCACCGGCCGAGTGATGAGAAATAGTGACGGAGAGCACCGGTGCGCACAGAGCTCGGGCGACAAAGTTTTTCTTTTCGAATTGCAAATCAGTGGAATTCCATGCCAACTGCGTTAAAAAATTGTACGGTTTCTCAGTTTAAAATTGCATGTAAAGAATATCTGACTGTTGTTTAAAATTTCCCCTTTTCGGCTCCAGCTCGGCAAGTAGATTTAATTTGGAAACACTTTTGCTTTCAAATTGAGTTTATGAGTTTTAGTAAGTTGTTTACTAGGGCTGGCTGCCAATTCTCTCTTCAATGTAATTTTTCCCCCAAATAATATTCGACTTGTTGTGAGAGAATAAACGAATTGAATTGAATAATATCAGAATAATATAAGTTTCGTTTCTGGGAGAATAATATGGTTCTCTCGAGAGCCAAATTTTTTTCAACTCAGCCGTTTATAATTTTAGCCGCATGTAATGAGAATAATGATATTTGTGTTTTATTTTTATGAAGCGATACCATTTTTTTATTTTATTAAGGACACGCATTTTTTAATATATGAAATTTGAGATTTTGGTGCGTTCTCGATGGTGTGTGTTGTAAGTCGAGGTTTACGGAGTGTACTAAAAAATTTAAACTTTTTATTTTATTAAATATTATTTAATAATATAATTTAAAAAATATTATATTCATTGCGCCGGCGCATTGGTACTATTCTGCGATTCGTTAACCCTGGATGGGGGAGGTAATGGGGGTGTACGTAGTGGGGTGTAGGGTATAAGAGAGGGTCAAGCAAAGGGTCGGCATCATTCTGGGCTGCTCGAGAAGATCGTCCGTCCTTATAAAAAAATCAAAATGGAACCCTTGACCCCTCCGATCTCCCCTGCTCGTCCTGCTCAGAATAATGTAAGTTGTTGACGATGAAACTTAGAAATTCAAAAAATATTAAATGTACGTCTTATTCTTTTCATATAGGTGGATGAGGTGAAGGTGGAGCCTGTTGAAGAAATGGATGAAGAGCCATCCAAGCCGAGCAAGTTGAATGAAGCAATGGAAGAAGATTTTCAGCAGAGTTCGAGAGCTTTGGACTTTTCAATGATTAGCTCCATCAGCGGCTATTATAGTCAGGAACATAGTCTTGCTGTGAGTTATTGAGAAATTATTATTAAAAAGTTCAATATTTTCATAAACTGTTTTCTTTTTTCAGTCGGCTGACACAGTCTACAATGGTAGCAGCAGCAGCAGTGGCAGTAGCAGTGATGAGAGCAGCTCGATGGATATGAAGGTGTGTTTGAAATGAACCAAAATTTCTGAATGAATTTTAAAATTTGTTACATCTTGTCTGCCTAGAATGATGATTTACCTGACGATCCTCACAATCTGCGCATTCTGCACACCTTTGTTGAACTTGATCTGCTGCCAAGGGAAGTTACTGGGATTCATTTGATTTCCATTTGGGATTTCTGATTTTGTACTGTACAATAAGAAAAATCACAATGTTGAGCTCAAGTTTTATCTACGTGTCGGAGAGCGCCAAATCATTGTTACCGAGTTTCAAGACTTTTACAGAATGTTATTCAGCAGTGATCTTGCCACTCTAGAGAAAGATTACGGAGAATTTATTTTGTTTGAGAACATTGTTGGTAAAGTTAAGCGAGATGCTCACAATTGTGAATGGCTAATTCTGTACCAAGTTTGGGATAATTATCATCACCGACTTGGAGTTGACAACGAACCTTTTAGAATTGTAATGAGCGAAAGGCAGCATACCAGACTCCAGAAAACTATGATTTCAGAAATGCACGTGTCGCATTTATTCATGAAAAAACCCACTGCTTCTGCAAACATTTGTCTGTCCACTGCCATACAATGGCAGTGGACAGACAAATGTTTGCAGAAGCAGTGGGTTTTTTCATGAATAAATGCGACACGTGCATTTCTGAAATCATAGTTTTCTGGAGTCTGGTATGCTGCCTTTCGCTCATTACAATTCTAAAAGGTTCGTTGTCAACTCCAAGTCGGTGATGATAATTATCCCAAACTTGGTACAGAATTAGCCATTCACAATTGTGAGCATCTCGCTTAACTTTACCAACAATGTTCTCAAACAAAATAAATTCTCCGTAATCTTTCTCTAGAGTGGCAAGATCACTGCTGAATAACATTCTGTAAAAGTCTTGAA